TGAAGACTTCAAGATTGCTATCATTTCTCCAATTCATAAGGCTGGAAGCAAAACTAATTGCGATAATTATAGACCAATCTCGGTTCTATCCTCAGTTGCTAAAATATATGAGAAATTAGTTACAGAGCAACTAGAAATTTATCTTGAAACTAATCACATTCTTGCAGAACAACAAGATTTAGGAAAAATCACTCTACACAAACTTCTCTACTTAACATCACGAACCAATGGCTAATGAATATGGATAAGGGTTTGTTAAATGGAGTGATTTTTTGGATCTCAAGAAAGCGTTTGACTGTGTTGATCATAATATATTGTTAAAAAAAATGCATTGTTATGGAATAAGAGGTCATACGCTTGCTTGGTTCCAGTCCTATCTTTCTAGCAGGATTCAAATATGTAAGGTAGATCAAACAATGTCCACGACAAGAACAGTTAAATGTGGAATACCCCAAGGTTCTAATCTTGGGCCACTTCTTTTCTTATTATATATAAACGACCTGCCAAACTGCCTGACCTCATCTTCAGCAAGCATGATGTTTGCCGATGACACAAATGTTTCAACCAATGGCAAAACAAATGACGAACTACAAGAACGCATTAACGTGGACTTAGAAAATATACACCAATGGTTACTTGCAAACAAACTTACACTTAACAAAGATAAAACTGAATACATGATTATTGGTTCAAGACAACGGATTTCAAACTTAGTACTAACGGACCCTAAAATTGAACTTGGCGAATCAGTCATTAAACGGGTTCACAAATCAAAAACTTTAGGCGTAATTATTGATGAACATCTTTTATGGAATCATCAAATCCAAAATATTGTCACAAAAACTTCAAAAGGAATAGGAATGATGCGACGAATAAAACAGTTTGTTCCCAAATCAACCTTAGTAAAAATATATAATGCCATTGTGCTATCACATTTTGATTATTGTAGCTTGGTTTGGGATAACTGTTGTGATTACTTAAAAAACAGACTTCAGAAATTACAAAACAGAGCGGCTCGAATCATCACTGGTAAAACTTATGAAGTTAGTTCTGAGGATGTTTTAAAAGAATTATAGACTGGCAACCTTTAAACCAACGCTATAAAACCATTAAATCGATTTTTATGCACAGAATACGAAACGAAAAAATGCCATCATCAATTTGCAACATGTTCAAAATTAAAATAAATGACAGATATGATTTAAGAAGTAACAATAACAACTATGATCTTGGAAACCCTGAAACAAATTTTATGAAAAAGAGCTTCAGTTATTCAGCTGCATCCCTTTGGAATGACTTATCAACTACAGCAAAAGAAAAAGGCATTAGCCTTAACAAATTTAAACGTATTCTTGACGGCACGTGATTCCTTTTGGTAACTTTGTAAATATTTAAATAGGATAGGATATTTTTAGATACAAATGTAGTGCATGCAATTATTAAGTTCGTTATGTTTTCTCTGTTTTTGTGTGTATATTTGTGTTATTATATTTATATAGCTTGTAAATACTGTAATAAACGGCCTCTTGAAAAGCAGGTGCCTACGAGCCCTGAAGAGCTACCGTTTTAAAATATTTTTAAATAATAATAATAGTACTGCGGGAAATATAATCCACGCGAAAAGCTTTGCGGTGTAATATTTACTCGTTGTTAGTAAATAATATAATGTAAGGCAATACCATATGCGAACCTGTAATATATGGGATGCTAATAAAAATTAGTTATTGTCATTGTTATTGTATTAGGCAAATGAAAACCATACATTTTAAAGTTTGAACTTTATACGCTATAAGCCTGGTTCACATAATTATATGCCTGCGACGTACCGGCGACGATGCCGGTGGTAGCTTTAAAACGTAAATTATGTGAACATTTGTTCGCCGATTGCCTCCAGTGCCACAGTTACATCGGCGGTAGGCCGGGAAAGTTGACTTGAGTTCAACTTTGCCGGTATTTCGGCGGCAAGTAGAGGCATAATGATACAGTCGCAGGCATGCCGCAGGCATATGTGAACCAGGCTTTACTGTTATCATGAATTTTGTTTTGACAAATATTGAAGTATTTGTTGTTATAGTTCTATTAATCAAACCAAAAGGAACCAACACGGAAAATTACTTGCGCGAATTTAAAGCTGCGCGAACAAGTTTCGCGAAATTGGAATGCGCGAATTTAAAGCTGAACGAAAATGAGTATACGACGCAAATTTTAATACAAGTAAGGTATACAATACATGGATTTGAAACATCTAACCATATATTTATGATACGTTATCCCAGGAAGCAGGCTCAGCTGTTGTAATTCTAAACTCTGTTAGTATACATGTAAACTACAATATAATATATCGGAGTGTAACTATTTCTATAAATTTCATTTACAGTACGTACTCACTAGTCTTTATAGACTACAGGTCTACAACTAATAATTACATGAGCAAAGTCTAAGATATAAAATATATAGGAGATTAACTAACATATTTCTTAATATAAACACACATGGCATGCCAATGGCTATCAAATAGTGTGAGTGGCCATTGATATTGTTCTGCATTTTTATAATAATACGTTTCATCAGCAAATATATGGTAATATATTCGAGACGCATGAACTGTGTAAAATTCGATATGTTATTTACATATTTAATATACTATTCATCTGACTGACCTGACACGGAGGTGATTCAAACAGCGCTGTCTTCACAGTTCACATCGCGGGAAATGCAAATCATGCCAATAATCGCACACCAAAAGCTTTCGATCAGCATTCTTTCGCGCACCTTTTCGTTAAATGAAACACGTTTACATTCGTTCATTATACACAGAAGATCGTGGAGTCATAGCCATATCGTTCTCCTTGGAACGAGCGGCGATTAAAATTTACCGACTATTCGATTACAACGAGGAGCCGACACGACAATAACAAGCCAGCATCGCTCTGAAGTCGATGCGACTATTGCAAACAGTAGCATTTTGCCTCATTCTGATTGGCTTACTTCGTCTGACCGTAGCAAACCAATCAGCACGCCGTATTTGCGAATTTTTGCAACGGTCAGTTTCAATCTGACCACTGCAAAAATTTCCAAATACAGCGCTATGATTGGTTTGCTACGGTTAGACGAAGCAAGCCAATCACAATGAAGCAAATGCTATGACTTCAGAACGATGTGATATAGTACTAGTGCAAAACCCGCAAATACAGGCAGTATTTCGGGCGGAAATTTGAGAAAAACCCGAATTTAATTATCCAAAATGAAATAAAAACTCGATAAAATTGTATCAATATGATTTAGTAAATTTTAAAAAAATTGCACCCAGTTTCAATGAAAAATTGAAAATAACGGCAATTAAAAATAGTATAACGTCTTAGTTTTTAATAACTTTAAAAAAGGTACAACCTGGAAAAATATATCTCAGGGAAAATCTGACCGTAGCATATGCTACGGTTGCAACGGTCTGAATCCGCCCCTGGTAGACTCGTTTGTTTTTACAAAGCGAGTCGCCATTTTGTTTTTTCAAATCATTAATTGCACTCCTAGTGAGTGCAATTAATGAAATAATTGCAGTCCTCTTAACCAATCAGATTGCAGTAATTTTGTCATGTATTTAATAAGGAATGTAAACGTTGGATCGTGATTTGTTTGCGATTACATTCATTTACCTAAATCTTATGATCCATTTTATTTTTACATCTATTGCACCACATGCTCATTTTGTATTTTTCAGGTCGTCCAAACTATCGGAGCTAGAGTGGCAGATTTAGTAACCCCTGAGGTCGTGGTGATCGAAGACGCAGGAATCGCGAAGCTTTTGTCAAGTGGTTATGGCCGGACGAAAGTCAATCAGATCCAGAACAAGAACAACGTAATCATTCAGAGAAGCAACTTCGGTCGTCGTATTCAAATAACGGGCAGATCAGAAGCTAAACTCCGCACTCGGACGCAGATTGAGAAATTAATTGAAGACCTACAGAAAACCACGCATTTAGAGATCGATTTACGACATTCAGATCGACCCGTGGGTGCAATCCGAGAGATTTTGAAGCACTTCGGGAAAGACCTTAACAAACTAGTTGAAGAGGAACACTGCCAAGCATCCATGGAGATCAGACGTCGAAAACTTGTACTACGCGGAGCTAAGGAAGCTGTTGGTCAAGTTCAAAATAAAGTAGAAGAATTTCTTAAAACAAACGTTGATATTGAATGTCCTGTTTGTTTTGCCGACACCGTTGAAGTTCCGTATTTTCTCACTCTGTGTGGCCATGCGTATTGCTCTGCTTGTATTACGCAGTATCTTAGCAATGTTTTTGATTCAGTAAAGAGTGCTGACTTGTTCCCTCAAAAGTGTATGTGTGAGGAATGTGAATCTCCTGCCATCAAGGAAGATTACGTAGCGCTTTTAAATACAGAACAAATTCAAAAGCTATACCGAGTTTCGTTGGAATGTTTTTTGATTGGCAACACTAGCTACAAGCCTTGTCCGACACCTGATTGTTCTTGGGTATATGAAGTCACTTCCGTTCCAGGCGTGTTTGCCTGCCCTGAATGTAACATTCGTTTGTGTAAGAAGTGTGGAGATTCAGCTCATGACAAATTTGATACGTGTGAAGCATATAAAGCGAGTAAAGAAGGATTGTCGAAGTCAGAGCAACAATTGAAGGAATGGGCGGAAGGAGCGGATACTCGCGAGTGTCCTAAATGTTCAGTTACGATTGAGAAAAATAAAGGATGTTCGCATGTAAATTGTAGACAATGTAATGCACATATCTGTTGGAAATGTGGAAGGTTTTTCAAAACAGATAAGGCATGTTACAGTCACATAGATTTTTGTGAGAAGATATAGATTATTGACAGATTTTGGATGTGATAATTTTGCAACAACTGATGAATGCAAGTTCGTACTCAGAGAGAAGAGAGATAGAGCACGAGTGTTGTACTCGTACAAATTATTGAAAGAAGTAGTCTCTCTTCTCCGCAGAGGTTTTCATGCGCTAGAGTAGCAATAGAGCCATACAGACACGGAAAGGAGCTTTGCTGTTTCGCCTGATTTTACCTTATATCGTTATGACGTTCAGTAAGGTTAGGTGATTAGGGACTGGGGTTCAGTGACTGGGTCAAAATCAAAGAGAAATATATTTGTGCGTGAAACATGACGAACCTTCCCACCTCTTATCATCTAGCGGCTTTGGAAAATAACGAGAAAGCCTCTGTGGAGGACAGAGAGGAGAAATTATAGTGATAGTATAGATTTTGGTTTTCGCGTTTACTAATAATGATCTCTTTCGGCTCAAAAATGGTTATTTTTAACGCGCGTAATACTAAAATACTCAAAATTTGCTCATTTCACAGGGCTATATTTTCCGTATTTGACAACATTTCGCAACCAAACTTTGCAATTTTACTAATTTTGGGATGATCTTTTGAGGTATAGTGGTATATTTCGTGTCTAGACAAAAAATTAGTCGATAGCTGGAATTGTCTATTATGGAAAAGGTGATTGTATTCCGTTTTGGATCCGTTTTATTCCAGATAAGAAGAAGTACGCGTAGCAATAACCGCTTACCGAAATCGCTGGCTCTTCACTATAAAATTTATAGATAACGAGAGAAATACTTTTCAACGAAACGATATTATGCAGAATGCAACCATATTTTATCAAAACCATGGGCGTACCGGAAGGAAAAAAATAGGGGGGCGGGAAGAAATTTGCCCGAGTTTTCGCCATTGTGCCGGATAATAAACCAAAATTGCCCGACTGTTGATTGAATATTGCCCGACTGCCCAACAAACTGGGGGGGGGGGGCTACCGCCCCCCTTCCCCGCCCCCCCCCCACCGCCCGGTACGCCTATGAATTTCGAAACTACCTTCGAATCTGTGTGCAGAGAAAATCAATGCTAAAAATGCCACAAGTATGCTACCTCCTCCTCAGGCCTTTCAAAAATATAAAATTGGTGGGAAACGAACGGTCTAATTTTCTCAAAATGTCCTGAACGTTCAAGAAATGAGCATGGCAATGATGGCTTCTGACAACCTAGTCCCTCTCGCAGTAACCTGCGATCAGGCCTATAAACTAGAAAATACATGCATGCAGAAACCCTCGCCTTGCTGACAAAACCATTGTATTTTCCGAAGTATCTGAAGTAGTTGTCATGGTAGCACGATAATTTTTTAAGAATATTCTTACAAATGAAAAATCGCCTAAAAATATCACTTTTAATTACAAAATTATCAATTTCCCAACATATATATGTTAGGTATGTTATTATACGTAATATGAGCTTCAATTTAATTAAGGTAAAATTCAACTACAAACGCTTCGCAAAACGTTTTAAAATGTTCTTTATAAAACTAAACTGCCTTTATAAATTAAATGGCTTTATCGATAAACTTTGAGTTTGCAATAAAATGATTTCAAATTCTTGCATGCAAATAACTTTAAATAAATTTAAAGCAATTATAAAATCAAAATTTAAAGGTGATCTACAGTCCATATGTAAACAAAGCCTTTGTTTACATTTTTGTGTCCAAAATATCGAGCTTTATTCGACAACTATTTATATTTTCAAGCTTCCAGAGTATAATAAATGATCAAGAAACAACAATCAGTCTTTTCAAGAACTCAAAACATAGTTAAACTGTTTCTATCATAAAAAGTGGGCTCATTTGTGCACATGCGCAGATCGGACTGTAGATCACCTTTAAAACAAACTTACCTTCGTTAACGTTGGCTCCCTTCTTTTAGCCGATTCTTTCGCCCTTTCTTTCTGAGAAAGCTTTTGAAATTTACAAAATCTTGCAAAAATGCGAGCAAAAATGAAATATATTTGCAGGAAATTTATCAATCATCAAATCGAGAAATGTTTGCTATTTCGCTGTCGTCATGCAGTCGTTATATAATGCAAACTTTAAAATGGACCAATCAGTGTCCGCCCTTCATGACAGTCCGCCATATTTTTGAGATCAGTGAGGATGACCACACACCCAACCATCTATGCACCCAACACTCCAACACCCACGATCATTGATGAACTTTAGACTAATTCGCTAATGCTTTCGTTTCCCCGGGTGTAAATAGCCGGGGGGAATTAGTACCCTCGCACGGCGCTTCGCGCCGTCGGCTCGGGGATAAATAGGCCCGATACAATAGACCTTTACAAAAGTCTATGCCGTACAACCATATTTCGGCTAGCCTGCGTAGCAGGCGTTTAGTGCGGGCGGGAGAAAAGAGGGCGTCGTTAAATAAACGCCTACCCAAATGCCTATGATTAATTTGTTCTTCTCCAAAAAATCTTCGCAAAAGCTTCCCATTGGTCAATCTCGTTAACGGAGTAATTACGTAACTCAAATGTCAACAATAATTTTGCTCGCGTATCGAAAATATGCCGCCTGTTATAATTTCAAGTATTTAGGCTTCGAAATTCAGTTGAAACAAGAATAGAGAAAGTCTATTATTAATTTGCTATGTGGTGAAGACGCCGGTTATCGCGATTCTTCCTACGGAAAGTCGGCAAATCAAAGGCAAAGCTTGCCCGAGCTGAGTGACCATAGTGGCAAGTAAAGGCTGCATTCCAGTTACGCGTTTTTCATACGTGCGTACACGCATGTAAAATTGCAAATAACCTTAACAAATACACATTAAATTATACCCAAAACTGAATGCTGTCCTTTTTATCACAAGAACCCTCCTCAAGAATCGCGAACTCAAAACCGGGTGATCATTTTTACGCGCAGGTTGCGGAAACTGATTAACAAAATGAAAGAACTTCCAAGATGACCTGACGTGAGCAGTTGCTCGCGCCATATCACGCCATTGCGCGTGTTCTATAGCGTTTTATGTCAATTGCTGACGTCATTAGAATTTTAATTTAATTTATAAACTTTGCCGATGAAACAGTACATTACCAACCTCGTACCCAGGGTCTTTCTTGGTACATTACATGACAGAAACAAACGTACATAATGAAATACAGTAGGTACATGACCACGGCTGGGTGACCGCAACAGCGAATATACTCTTAAATATACTCTTAAATGTTCGAGAGTTTTCAGGATCATAATTAATGTTCAGTGATGTAAAGTAATACTTGAGCAAATCTGATTTAAATACAGAAATGCTAGTATCATTAGTGAGGTTCAGTTCATCTGCAAGATAATTCCAAACTCGGCACGCTCTTACGAGGAAAGATTTTTGGTAGGTGATAGTTCTGCATTTAGGGATGACATATTTCAGTTTGTTTGATGAGGTTGATCGGATTGCTCTACGAGTGGCCAAGATAGCTGGCGACACTTGGGGATTTAGCGTTACTAGACCATGTGTGATTTTAAAAAACATGATGAGGTCCAAGTATTCGTGCCTTTAGAAAAATAATGCGCTATATCTCTCTATTTTGTCTGGTGACCTATGTTCAAATTTTGCATGCTGTGTTGCACCGCTAAAAACTTTCATTGTACAAAAAATTAAAAAATTCTGTAATGTCAAAAAAATTTTACCGAAGAATATGACATTTTCGTATTTTCCAAAAAAATGGCATTACAGAATTTTTTTATATTTTGCTAATTGTTAACTTTTGATCCAAGTAAAATAATGCACGAAAAAAAATTGGAGGTCACCATGCTTCTTTTCCAACTATGGGGTCACCATGCTTCTTTTCCAACTTGAGCTACGGGCTACTCAGGTTAATTGGCGGTTCAAATCCCGCGATGGCCAACCTTTTGTTTTTCGTTCTCATATTTTTTTCTCTAAGATTTTTCCTAAGATTGTCTTTATACAATACCTTTCGGTTAGATTAGGGTTAGAGTTCGGATCAGTTTTATTTTTTAAGTGTGGAATTACCAGACAACACAGTTTAATATTAAAGTGTGGAGGTACTAGACAACAAAGGGGAGTTAAAAATTGTAAATTACTATTATTAAATTGCTCCTTCTTTCAAAATTCGATAAATTGTTTTTTAGAAATATTATAATATTTCGCTGTCACTTCGGGCCATTTTGTACTTCGCGCAAATTTCAATAATTCGCGCGCGAATTCGAATTGCTTCAGCCGCTGACATGATCTGATTTGATCGCGGACGGGGGTCACAGAACGCCCGGGCACAAAATAGAAACCCGGGCCTGAAATTGACTACCGTCAGCCTAGACCTAGGCCTTCTAGTCTTGTTTATATGTTTTTAATATTCAGCGCTGTTGCGTCAGGCTTGTGTCATTCCTCCGCCCCGCCCCCAAATCACCTGGTCCCAGTCTTTTCATGTGAAAAAGCGCTAAATCTTAAAAAAATATAAATAAAAATAGAAGGCCTAGGCACAGAAGAAGGTACACAGAAGGCCGACTTCTTTGTTTTTCCTATGATTTTGCTATGATTTTGGCGTAACCCGTAATTCGTCATCAAATGCTGACGCCGTGGTCCTAGCCAGTGCGCGTTTGAGAGGCATTCGCCCCCCTGATATTATTCAAAATGGCGGATGTCCAGGGGGGGAATGCCTCTCAAACCCGCACTGGCTAGGACCATGGCGTCAGCATTTTGATGATGAATCATGGCGTGGCAGCGTTACTCGAGTCGACCTTCTGTGGCCTAGGTCACAGAGTAAGTATATACAGAGGCGGAACTCGAGGCAAATCATGTCCCCACTTTTTTAATGCGCATGCGCGACCCTCTGGCAAGTGTCATGCACATTTTTTATCAGGAAATAGATAGGAAAATGCAAAATTTTGGCAATAAAACGGCGATTTGAAGCGCAGTAACCGATCAATCTTTATTTTGTGCACGCATTTTGCAAATAAATGGCACACTGCGTCTTCTTAGCGAAAGGAAATTGAACGAATACCATTTTTAACGGCGAAAATGAGAAAAGACACCCGAAGGAGTGAGAATTTCTGGCAATCTGAAGATTCGATTCTGTAGACCTGAACTCCAGCTGGAACTTGGCAACTTTATATGTGAGTTTTTTTTCTCTAGCTCATATATATGAAATTATCAATATATTTTTGTGAAGTGCAATGTTGTATGAAAGGGTTGTCGTTAATTTAAACATTGCATAAACAGCATTCAGGTACGAAAAATATGAACATCAACATTCAACATGGACTTACTGAGTAAATGGACTTGGACATGGAGCCACAGTACTCTAAAGTACTCATATAGACTCTATTTAACTTATATGTTGACCCAATGGTGGGGGATTGGTCAAATTATACTTTATAGTGATTCCCCTCCATACTGGAAAGTTCGTATGTTACGCCGGATATATCCGGCGTAGGATTTTACAGATTACGCCAAATTTGGCGTAATACTAAATCAATTTTTCGGTTGAAACTGTTGGCGTGGCGTAAATGGCGTAAAGCGTATATAACGGTATAGTGTTGGCCAGGGCCTTTTTTAACATACAAGCTGGGGGGGCATTTGCCCCCCCCAGTCCCCCCTTGTGCCCCCCCAAGAAATCACATTTTGCCCCCCCCCAGGAAAAGTCCCTTTTTCCTAAAATTATATAAACAATCCAGCGAAGATTAACAAATAGATAAACGGAAAGTAAGTTTTAGGCTTTATCCTTTGTTCTTGTTTAACAAAATCGATTTAAATTGTTACTTTTTTTATCACTAAGTAATGATAAATTATTGTTAATATTTTTTTATTTTTTGGATGCTCATGCAGAATGCAGGAAATAGCATTTCACGGTTTCAAATTTCAAAAATTTTCTTGGGATTATCCCTCTAATAAGTAATGATAAATTACAGTTAATATTCTTTTTTACTTTTAATTTTGTTCATTTTTCCATCTTTTATTTCAAATACAACTATAGTTAGCATATATTTTAGAGCAAATTTGGATGCTCAGAATGCAGGAAATGGCATTTCCGTGGTTCAAATTTCAAAAATTTTCTTGGGGAGTACACCCCCACACACCTGACCATTGCTATCCTCCTCTGATAAGTAATGATAAATGATGGTTAATTTTTTTCACTTTTTGTGCGTTTCTTCCTTTATTTATTTCAAATAGAAGTATAGTTAGCCAGTTAGGATAAATTTTGGAGCAAATTTGGACGCTCAGAATGCAGGAAATGACATTTCCGGGAGTCAAATTTCAAAAATTTTCTGGGGGAGTACACCCCCAGAAGACCCCCCAATTCATGCGTGGTATATTTGCCACACACGTGGCTTTCAGCCATTGCTATCCCCCTCTAAAATATTATCTCACAGAAAGGTCCCTTTTCAAAAAATGCCCCCCACGGGAAAATCCTTAAAAAAGGCCCTGGTGTTGGTGACTTGGCGTTCACGAGTGTGTCGGCGGTGTGGCGTTATGTGGCGTTCTTAATTTCTGGCACAGTGGCACGATTGTTGTTCCAAATTTCTAATGTATTATATAACGCCATGAAAACTTTATATTTGAAATAATTTATGATAATAAATATTCAATTGACAAAATATTGTATAAATAATTTTGCCGGCAAATTTTACGCGTACAGCAAACTGTCGAGCAAAAATCTACGCCGACGCGACTCTGTGACCATATATTTTGCAAGGCAATTACTAAATAAGCATGAAAAAAATTAGCAAAATGTAGAAAAAAATTACTAAATTTCTGCTGTCAACCAAAGTGGTCTGAAAATCAATAGAACATCTCAATAAAACAAAATCAGTAATACACTTTCCATCATTGAAACTATGTTTTTCCATGTTTTTCTTTCTCACTTGTACTTTTGATTGCAATTGTGCAAAATGCAAATATGGTGTCGCGTTGTCGAGCCGGTGTCACATCGGATTTGTACTCCCCACGGATATGGACCCCCCGGTCCATATCAGCTAGCTGATTCGGACCCCTACGGTACATATCTGGTAGCTGATATGTACCCCCTTCCGCGGAAATGGATCCCCTAAAATTCACAAAAGAAGAAGTTTTGAAACGATTTGCAGTTGAATGTGCATGGAAATTTAGGCGTCAGTTTAATTCTACAGCCCCTCTAAATATTACTTGTAAATATTATGGCGTGTACGAATTCGTAACGCAAAAAGCACGTTCGGATTGTGCACGCATAAGACACAGTTACTGTTACTCACATATGTTTGTTCCCTAGCTGTGCACTTAGATAATTCAAGGACCGCCAATGATGAGTTGATTGATGAAGAGTTGGTTAACATTTTGGTAGATATGGCAAACGAAACCGAAGGATCAGCAGAAGATAACAGCACACCATCCAACCACATTCAAGGTATGCATATAGTTTATCCAGATCGAGAGTACCAATAGAGGAATTTCAAATAATTTATTATATTCATTTTGAAATGAATGGTGTTTCTTGGAATCTGATTGGCTCTTCAAGAGTACTGACTTCAGCCAACTTTTAATCATATGTAACCATAGGATTCAAACAGCTAATCAATTTTAAGAGCAATTTACAGAATTTACAGGACAGAGACCTTGATTAGACATTTAGGTTTTTTAGGGCCGCAAGTTATATTGTTGCATATAGTTGCATTGTCTACAGCTGCTCCTGGTCATAAGTCTAAAAATAAAATGTTGATATATTTGAGTGTTTAATACCCATGCAAAATTCCTACTGTGACTTCAGAAACTATGATAGTGTGAACCAGCCTCAAACTATTATGAAATTGCTGTATTTCAGAAAGCGAAGACACTGTGAGTAATGACTCAAATCAAGAAGAGCCATCAACAACGGCAGCAGTGGAGCCCTCTCTCATGGACCCTCCAATTGCTAATGTTGAAGTCGACCATGCCCCACTAACATATCGAATTGTGGAGGAGGGGACCAAACGGAGAAAAATAAGTCTGGTAGATAGTGTTGGGTTTAAATATAATGTCCACTCAAAACGATCATATGCTACGTACTGGCAATGCACTGTGCGACCAAATGGAAACCCATGCAAGGCATCTGTGGTTGAAAGGAACGGCTTGTTTCTCGCAGGGAAGTCAAACCACAACCACCAGGTTGAAGCAGGAGCCTTTACAGCAGCTGAAGTGGTGGCAGCAGTTAAACAAAAGGCATTGGAGGAGAAATTCAGGCCGGCTTCAGCCATAGTTGAAGAGGTAGATACATTAGGGGGGTCCTGAGGGGGAGGGGAGAACTTATCAGGATTTACATATGTGGTACACTTAACTAATTAGTAATTAGTTTCTCAACCTACTTTTCGTTAGAAAAGGCAGCATGCCGTCTCCACAGATATTTTTTGCACAAATTTTCATTCAAAAGTTTCTGCGTAGCTTCTCGTAAAGTTATTTGACTCTGTCTTTATGATGGTATATGTTTTTTTTACCATTGTGTTTTTCATTCCCAGTATCCTAAATCCCCTTCACGACGCTTTGATAAGTGTATAAGGGCTAAGGCTCACATTTTATTATGAATCATTTTATTTATATTGATCTTGTTGTTCTTTTATATAAGATCCTTCTTAACAAGCTCGATCATGACATACCCTGTGCAGCACTGCCAAAACTGGAGTATATGGCCAGAGCAGCGAACAGGCTACGCCAAAGATCAAGGCCTAAAGATCCACAAGACCTGCAGTTCGAACTAGAGGAGGACTGCATCCCACCAGGATTCCTTCAGGCTGACGTGGCGGTAAAAGAACGACGCCATCTTATCTTTGCCAAGGAAGAACAGTTGAAAACATTATGCAAAGCAAAGACTTGGTATATTGATGGCACATTCAAGTTGGTTCGTCATCCATTTAAACAGCTGCTAACAATAAATGCCTTTGTAAGGTCTGGTGATCATGCCAAACAAGTTCCACTTGTATATATCTTGATGTCAGGACGTAAAATAAAGGACTACAAGAAGGTACGTTTTATAGAAAAGAAACCTCAGTCAGTTTTTGTAAACGCCAATTATCATTATCTGTATAATACAATGAAATGTTCAATGACCGATGTCAATGTCGAAGAACAGTATCTTTTGCACTCTTTCAGAGTATCACTATTTATTGTTCCACATATAGTTGACTCGAATCTTGGGTTTATTCCTTGAATCATTGGCTGATTATGATTTTATCCTGAGTGGCAGTCAACTAAAATCGTCTGCGTTAGGCAGTGTAAATTAATGGAATGAGGAAATAGTTGGTATCAGTGATGAAACATTAGTATAATCTAAAGATGCAATGTTACGTTAGTTTCACTTTCATATATAAGATGGTTTCCACGCCGTCTTTTGATTATTTAAGTTGACTCCCGATTCGTGCATATACATGAGTTAATTTAAGTAGGGTAAAACAACATTTTAACCGAATCGATTCTTTAAACCTTAGAAAATGTATTAAAAATAAAACTGATCAATTTTTTGAAATATATCGACTCCAATCTTAATTGGGTTTATTCCTTGAACAGTTGGCTGATTATGATTTTATCCTGAGTGTAAGTCAACTAAAATCGTCTGCGTTAGGCAGTATAAATTAATGGAATACAATTCTCAACTCTCAAATAGGTATTGAAAGAGATTGTTGATATTCTGCCAATGGACCCACATGTAAGTAAGATCACCCTGGACTTCGAAACTGCGTTATGGAAAGCCTGCAGATCTATTTTACCAGATGTAAAACTGCAAGGATGTGTTTTCCACTGGACCCAGGCTCTTTGGCGGAAGGTAATTAAAATAATTAAGCTACAGGTATATAATGCCGTCTATAAAATTCGGAAAATATAATTTGGTTATTACCCATCTGAACGGACTTTACATGGCAATTATACAAATTTCTTCATGGAATCGTTGATGTTAGTAACAAGTAGGCATTAAACTGGAGTGGAAAAAATGGTCAAGAGAAAATTATCAAATAGTCATGCTTTAATATGACAGGACTTGGGATAATTTTCTATGACTTTAATTTAGATTCTTTTGTTACATAGATTCAAGAGCTTGGTCTCCAGACAGCATACACAAACGACGATTCCATTTATAAATATTTAAGGAAGTTAATGGCTCTTCCATTCCTTCCTCATAATCAGATCCAACCAATCTTCACCACACTAAGTCAACTGGCTCAAAATCCACCCCTTTCAAAGTTGGTAGAGTACGTCAAGAAGCAGTGGATCGAAAGCAAAACATTTCCTCCCAGAAACTGGAGCATTTACCAGGAAGCTGTTCGGACCAATAATGATATTGAAGGTTGGCACAATGCTCTAAACAGACATGCAGGTGGAGGAAGCAATTTATCTTTGTATCTCCTGATCGAGATATTGGAACGAGAAGCCCAACTGACTGCAATCAACATTAGACTCGTGTCGGAACGCAAGCTGAAAAGGATCCAACGGAAGACATACAGGAATCAGCAAGAAAAACTCTTCCAACAATGGGAACTGTACGAGAATGGTAAGAAGACGATTGAGGAACTATTACGATTTTGCTCTCATATTAATGGGCCAGCCCGTGGCTAATGAAACTTAAAGATAAGTTAGGCTGCATTCAAAATGTATATGGTGGAAGGCTATAGGGATTTTTTATTTTAATTAAAAGAATATTTTCACTTTTGACAGCACTTTAAACAGTGAGAAAAATATTGACTCATCCAATAAAGTCCTAATTGTACATTGTAGAAATGTGATAAACATCTGCCATCCCCTACCTAGTTTTCTGTCACAAGAAATGGATTACAGTATGTTACTCTACCTAATTACTCTAAATAGACTATATAGCCTTAATACTCTGCTTCATGTTTATATGTTTCCAAAAGTCTACACACACACACAAAATCCCCATAGCTCCCACCATGTATATATCATCGCTTCCTAAGTTAAATATCCAATAAGTTTAAAAGTGTTGTACTGCAATATACATATTTGTTGTTTTATTTGGGCAACACTGTACATACTTGGGAATTCAAGCCAAAAATTTTGAGTAGATGTCAACAATTAAGATGTCAAAGTTTGTTCCGACTGATTGAAACTACTAAATACAGTAAACACAGTAAAATCGAAGTTCGCAACCATGTGCAGAAAAGTAATCTGATGTCGAGTTTCAAGCTTAATAGTCGAATCTTGCAACTCTTTTGAATGAATTGTTCTCATAAGGAGATATTTACCATGTCTCTAAGAAATGGGCCCCATATATGATTTCTAAACTGATTAAATGATGCTCCCATTAAGCTTTCATGCTTAGAGTTTAAGGTTTAAGGTTTAGAGTTCAAGGTTTGCAAAGGACAACCTTTTTTGAATTAGTTGTATAAAATACAGTGATCTATTATACAGTTGCTCACATAGTTGAAGGAACTAATTACCATTTCAGTATACATCCTTTCACGTAGACATGGACACCTTGCGAGTGCTCTTATATGATCAGTGTAAATATAATATCATTCTATATTAAAGCTCCATTAATATGTAGACATATAAATTTTGTAAATAAATATGAGTAAATAAATTTTGTACTTATTTTGTATTTGACTTACCAAGAAATCAGGCTGAAAACCAGCCTCCCTGTAATGAAATAAAAACCGGTTCAAAGACATAATTCCTGGCTAGTTCAAAGACATAATTCCTGGCTAGTAAGATAACAGTATTCGTGCTGTACAGAATACATTTAGAAATTGGGCTACTCCATTTAATATCCAATACCCCCCTATCGAGGACCTTGGAATTCTTCAGGTAATTTTTAACCCTGGAATTCCTCATGGGTGAACAAATTCTCCTGTGGAATTCTTCAGGGGCTGGTTATTTTGAATGAGATTTCCTGATGTAAAATTTGAAATTCTTCAGGGGTAAATGCTGATTTCTTCAGGGCTATTTAAAGTGGCTCGATACAGTTTTCAAAAATTCAGGTGTTCAACACTTTGAGATGTTCCAACTACGCATTTTTAGGATATATTCAGCAGATACTGTTTTTTTTTTATATTTTGATATCTCTACATGCGTGTACGAATTCGCTCCAAAATGGCCTATCGTCTCGTTTTGTTGGATAAGAAGCATGGTGACCCCCAATTTTTTTTCTTGCATTATTTTACTTGGACGAAAAGCTAACAATGAGCAAAATATAAAAAAATTCTGTAATGCCATTTTTTGGAAAATGCGAAAATGTCATATTCTTCGGTAAATTTTTTTTGGCATTACAGAATTTTTTATTTTTTGTATAATGAAAGTTTTTAGTGGTACAATACAGCATGCAAAATTTGAACATAGGTCACCAGACAAAATAAAGAGATATAGCGCATTGTTTTTCTAAAATGGAAAATTCTAATGACGTCCGCAATTGACATAAAACGCTATAGAACATGCGCAATGATGTGAGATGGCGCGAGCAACTGCTCACATCAGGTCATTTTGGAAGTTCTTTCATTTTGCTAAACAGTTTCCGCGACAAAAATTAAAATGGTCACCCGGTTTTGAGTCCGCGATTCTTGAGCAGGATTTTTGTAATATATTAATAAACTATATCGAGCCACCTTAACAGGAATTCTTCAGGGAATTTATCAGGATTTACATATATGGGGCACTTAACTAATTAGTAATTACAGCATTTTACAAACTAACAAATTACAGACAGAAATAATTATATAAAAATACAAAATACCTGCTGTCCATAAATGCCGTACAGTTTATATGATGCATGTCTTTATATACGTTGGCGAATCGACCCGAGACGTTGGCGAATCGACTTGAGACGTTGGCGAACTGACCGTTGGCGAAACGACCCGTTGGCGAAACGACCGTAATTCGCATGTGCAAGACCTCTGACCTTTGAAGGCATAAGCATGCCTTCAAATGCGGATTAACAATCCGTAAAGAAACGTTTCTTTGCTGGAGCATACATTTGTGAATGTGGTTATTAGTTGCACAGAAAGTATTAAAAACATAGGTAGTTTAACTTTTAATTTTTGCTCACAAATCCCAAAGCTACATGCATGGAACCTGATGGACGTGTTTCAAATCAGCACCTATGCTTTCTTATTAATGTAAAAGACAGGAAAGCAATACAATTGGCCCGCATTAATTTAGCGAAATGGGAATCTGCTTAATCTTGGCAAGAACATCACAAGCACCGAGATTGTAAATTGTATTATACTATTTTTTCTTTGTATTTAGCTTATAAACGTATATCTTTTTACATAAAAATAACCACTTACCATTTATCTTTCAAATTTGAGTCCCAAAATGAAGATCGGTCGAGCAACTTCGCAAAAATATTTATTTTTCTACTTTCGAACAGTGTTTTTCCTATGCTTTTGACTGAAAACACGACGAATGACACTTGCCAGAGCAATTTGCGTGGCGCGTGGAAATGACGTGGCACGGGACACAAAGAACAAAGGAATCGCCGCGAGTTCCGCCTCTGTATACTCTGTGCCTAGGTCTAGGCTGGACTACCGTATGAAATGAAATCAAATGCAAAGTGAAAGTATAAAGAATGAAACCTTGTGGCTTGTACGAAGTAAAATTCAGTGTATTTTACATATAAATGGGCGGCAACTCGGAAAGTAAGTCGGCTGTAGCTGAACCACAGGAAACTAAGTTTGGCAAAGAAAGCGAATTTTGGTTTCTATTGGAAGTAACCGATCCATCGGCGTATCCAGCAGAAAAACTACACAAATGGATTACAGAGCTGTTGGGACCTTTGGGGGGTTCCATTTTGGGCGTTCAATATTTAATAGACCCCGGGAGTACGTCAGCCCATGTTTTCGCTTATTGTAAAGATTTCAAGGCAGCACAGTTTGCATGGGAGCGTTTAAACAACAAAGAGTTGGCTAGTCGTGGTATTCATAAAGTTACATGTATGTCTGAGCCTTCAAAAAATGAAACAAGAGCTTCAGCTGTTGCAGAAAAGGTCAATAAGGAGATTCCTGATGTTACTTATAATGTGGTAAGTTGTGGACAAGGTAAATTAATACCCAGTCATGTAAATTACTTATAGTAGGCTGAACAATCCTCTTTTCAATAAGAAATGGGCTATTCCATTCAACTGTCACACACCCCCTGTTGAGGATACATGTTTGTCAACATTATACTCCCAAGGAATTCCGTTTTTGTGCAACAAAAGTGCTGTTGGAAAGTTATCTCATTACTAGGAGCAGAAGATTGTGTTAATCGACTCGGCAATATGGGCTTGGGTAACACTTCAGGACTGATATCAACTTCTCTAATGATCAACCATGCAGTCTACCATGCATTTTTCTTATGGTGCACCACTGTTACTGTCTGTAAAGTTGGATTTTCACTTGCAAGAAAACATTTTCGCTCAATTTCTTTTGAATTGTGAAGTAGAACTGACCTATTCTTTCAACAACGAAATATTTCTCTGTAAGTGGAAATCCAACTTAACTTGCAAATATTTTGTATGTCCAGGCCAGAGCGGATCTGGTCTGTTAGAGGGAGTCGAGGTTTTCCAGAGAGGTGCCAGAACATTTTTGAAATTTGAAACCTTGAAATGCCATTTCCTACATTCTGAGCACTATGTTTATTCTTGTCCTATATTTATTCTTGTCCTATATTTATACTAATTTTGTCCTCATAGTACTTGTATTTTGGGCAAAAATTAAGAAAAGTGCTGCGTTATATGGCGACCCACTGTATTGGTGCTTGAATATTTTCTTGTGTATTCGAAAATCAATTGTTTCAATATAACAAGTAGTATTCACAACTCAATTAAATATGGAATACCAGAGTCCTCTTCAAGGGGGTGCTGGCCACCACAGGGGGGGGGTACACCCCCTGTACCCCACCAGTAGGTCCACTGTCCATCAGAGTCTGTCAGTATTTGTGTAGTAAACCTACAATGGAAAGGTGATGCGTCAGATGTGTTTGAAAATTGAGCTAGCTTGAGATATATTTAGTATTTTCAGCATGCGGCCATGCAGGTTTGTTGCCTTTCATGTGATTTGCAGTATTTTAGCATGTATACAAGGGCTTTCATAATAATCCTTTTCAGGGGTGCACCGGATTTGGAATTTTCAAATCCGGCTGGAACCGGATTTGGATAAAAATTCCGGCCGGATTTGAGATAAACCGGTAATGGGGACAATTGGGGATAAATCAGTATTCAAAATGACGGTTTATGTTTTTTTACTATTTTTAGTTAGTGTCAGTTTAGATTTTTGATTGTGTTTAAACCTTTTTTAAACATCTTTTTGTTAATAACTTAATATTTTATAATAATATAAGTGTTTTTTAAACTTTAAAGCTGCCAAATTGATGGTTTATTCCATTCTTTGTGAATTTTTAAAGGTGAAAACAGAAATTCAAATCCGGCCGGATTTTCTCCAAATCCGGCCGGAAGCAGGATGCCGGAAAATTCGTTAAATCCGGCCGGAATTCCGGCCGGATTTGAACTCTGGTGCACCCCTAATCCTTTTAACTCATTGAGTGGCAGCACCTTCCCCCTGGTGAGTAAATTGTCTGGCATTAGACCAGTGAACTCCGTGTCTTTTATCTGGAACGATAACATGCGGGCACACTGAGATATACAGAGAGGATACTGACACTCGATGACCTCAATTTTTGTGTCATGCGTTCCACGTGCCAAATGTCATAGCAAAAGATAGGGAAAACGCTGTTCGAAAGGTGAAAATCTCTTTTTTTAAAAAAATGAAATACCCATGGAAATTTTGTTCATTAAACTAGAAAATACATGCAATGCCATGCAGAAACGCTCACCTTGCTGACAAAACCATTGTATTTTCCGAACATGAAGTATCTAAAGTAGTTGTCATGGTAACACGATATTTTTTTAAGACTAGGAGTTACTATCACAAGGAAAGTGCTGCCTCACCCCCAAGGGAACAAATCAAGACAGCATGCAGAATTTGCTGAATACGGGGCTGTTTATATGATCCTGCTTTGCCAGGATGAGATGCCAAGCAGGATTATTTTGATGTATAAAAATAAATTACTGTGCCCGATTCAACAAAAAACTCCATAGTTAGCTGTAAACTAAAGGCAGCAATAATAATCTTCTTGAACTACATTTGAATTCTGTTGACTTATTTCAATACATTAAAATCACCCTGCCTTCCAATATTTACAATAAACAGCCCCTAAGACACCTGTTCATGAGGTAGGAAAAGTGCAATTTGAATATCAAAGACCTTAAACAAAGTCAAAACTCAAAGACAAAGGTCAGCTAAATATTCTATTTCTATTTTAGTAGTATTCGTTTTCTATTTCTATTTTATTGCAGTTTTATATGAATACCTTCAATGCTTATATTTTCTTGCTATACAATTACAATACTGTCTGTGGCAAAGCTAAGCCATACCAAAGGTCATATACTATGCAAATTTTTAATTATTTGCATTATTCAAATATGCAGGTTTATTACGATAGATTAACCAGTTGCCATGGCTACTGAATACTGTACAATATCATAAATACAGTGTGTCTAAAAAAAGTGAACTCTTTCAAATTCAAATTAGCTATAATGTAATATTGTAGTAATTTGACAGCTCTAATTGCTTTGAATTAATGATTGGGTAAGAGCACAAGGTTTTATACTCATGGGACAAAACTCAAAAAGAAATAAAAATTAGAAAATTTAAAAGAAATACAGTATTCCTTGTGTTCTTACCCAACTATTAATTCAATGCAATTGAAATGGCTCACTCACTTTTTTTTGTCCCAATTATTAATTGTTCGGGTTTTGTCCCAATTATTATTTACATGGAACCTAGCTTCAAGGCCACCCCTATTCCAAGTCAACCGAACAATCTGATGGGGAGACAAAATCTATTTGTTAACATTTTTGTTTAATTAATATGTCAGCTTCAGATGACACCATTCATTGTACTCAGTCAGATATTGTACTCAGTCAGAACCGCAAAACTATATAATAAGAAAGAAATTGTGAGCATTATATATCGAAGAATATTCTTGGGTTTCATATGACGTCACAAAAGTGACGGGGGTCAACTCTAAACACAGCACAGTTATCAGAGTGAGTCAATTGTTCGTTTTATGTATTAGCCTTGTGTTTGGTGGCAATAGATGGAATTACTATGATTTTAGGTTGCCCCCCCCCCCCGTCACATTCACTGCATAATGCCTTAGTGAAACCCAAGAATAGCATACCTGGAAATGTATTGACACAGCCAGGTGAATATGCTTGCCCATAGAGGACAAAAATATCTCTAAAATTCGAAGTCGAATTATTAAAATCGAAGTCCAAACATTAAAATCGAAGTCGAAATATTAGAACCGAAGTCGAAATATCAAAATCGAAATAATTAAATCGAAGTTGAATTTTAAAAAATCGAAGTCGAAATATTAAAATTGAGTCGAAATAAATTATCATATTTCGACTTGAAAAGAAACAAGCAACGCAAATTTATATAATTATCATAATTAATTTTGGTGGGATTCGTCATGAATATATTGAAATCAAAAGACTATTCTTAGTTCTATTAAATTCTGATATTGATATGCTATAAATAACAAAATTAGAATAACAACAGTGCAGCATTGCCATATTAGGTCATGATAAGCCGTTGCCTATAATATTTAAAATAACACAACAATCCATGATTTACCGTAATTAAACAAGTTAAAATAAATCACTACCAGTATCTTACAACAATTCAAAACCATGGCAAGTGTTCTTTGAAGAATTAAAGTCGTAATAAGCTTAAACAACGGCATAATTCATGTTTGACGGCAGTAATGTCTATTTATAAATGTCGAGCGGAGTACTGGATCCAAATGTACTGATTTTCGTGCAAAAGTCGCCGGTGTTCCCCAGCGCCTCAGCAAGCCTCCACAGAGGATTGCGGGCTCTGGTTTCGAGATTGAACCTTTACCAGGGTCTTCTCATTTTTCAGGCACCATGCACGAAGAAGACCCTGGGGACGAGGTTGGTTTTTTCAAGTCGAAATATTATACACTTAATGTCTGCTCCCGAGGGAAATAGTTAGTTTTGTTTTCCCGAGAATCTCAATGTTTCCCGAGACGAAGTCGAGGGAAACATTAAGATTCGAGGGAAAACAAAACTAACTATAACTATTTCCCGAGGGAACAGAACTAACTATTTCCCGAGGGAACAGGCATTATGGGTTTTTTTTTATATTGTGACGAACAAAAATCAACTTCAACAACATTCGTACAACAATTGTATTTCGTGACAAAAACTCTATAGTGTAAAGAGTTTAAAATTAAAAGAACCTACTTAAACGGTTTCAGCAGCATATCCTGTTGCCTGTTGTGTATTTTTCTTAATTTGAACACAAACTTGGAAAATCGTAGTTTCTAATTATCTGAGTTGTGCCTCCATTTTGTTTATTTATGTACGTGGCCGGTCGGGGCGGGCAACAATTTTTCACTTGTTGCCTGGCGGGAAACATTGCATTTATCTGAAGTCACGTGACCACAATAACAAGATAAAACTTTTTAATATTTCGACTTCGATTTTTTAAAATTCAACTTCGATTTAAATATTTCGACTTCGGCTTTAATATTTCGACTTCGATTTTAATATTTGGACTTCGATGATATTTTTGTCCTCTATGGGCAAGCATAGATGGGCAAGCATAATCAGAGTGTGACTGTCTATATAGATTCGATAAGTATTAAAAACAAAAAACATGCAAACTGTGACAAATGTATATGAAATATTACACGCCAGTCCGTGTAATAATAATAAGATTTATTTTAACACAATAATTTTACAGCATAGCTGATGTGGTCGTGTAACTAAGTAACAAATTCCACGAAAACATGACTATAGAGTAACTGTTCACTAAAGCATAATTGTTCACATAAAGACACATAACAAACAATCATTATTTGACACTTGCATGACCCAAACTATTATACACACATCTATTACAACTTAAGCGCTTTAACAGACTTTTTAAATTCTTCAAACGTTCTACTAGTTTTCAGTTCAAGACCCAGTCCGTTCCATAGACTAACAGCTTGAAAGGAGATTGATTTCTTAAGAAAGTCCGTGTTCTGTTTAGGAAGTTTATAAGTCATTTTATTTCTAAGTTGGTAGCGATGAACATTTTTCGAAAAGATTGACTGCAAAGTTGGAGAAGATAATTCATGATAGCACTTGTACGCTAGGTATACAAGTTGTTGTTTGTGCATATCATTGAGGGTGGACCATTTAACTTTGTTGATGACGTCTTTCCCAGGGGTG